ATTGGGCACTTTCTCATTTCTCTTCTTATTCTTCAAAAAGAACCCTAACACTATATGACATCAAGATCAAGCACAAAGCTATGATGAAGTTATTTTTTTATAACAAGTCATCTTTTAGAATAGCTCACAGTCATGTTTTAGTATGATAGGGTTCAACTAAGATCTAATCTTTCCTAATATTGGACATTACAATACTTGAAAAATAAGGGGGAAAAAAGATTTGCAAAATTTGAAATTTATTTAATTTAAAAATAGTTTAAAATTGAGACCCTTTAAACTTTATATACGTGACATGTCATCTCTAACAGGTACTAAATCATCCATTATTGGGACAAGGATCCTCTGTCCCATAATTTTCCTGTCACCATGTCCCTAACAAATCAAACTTCACAAAATAATATTAAAATATTAATTTCTGATTTTGTTATTTTTATTTTTAATTGAATGAAGCTCTCCAATTGGCTTGATACACAGTTTGGGACATGAATGGGGACATGCGATCTCCACCCCATTATTGGAAATACTCGATAGAGTTAAACACAAAAAAATTGACTAACACTTAATTAAGGAGAAATTAAACTAATTATTACATCATGTGCACCTAAATGTCTTCTTACATATAATTTTAAATAAATTATTAGGACCCAATGACTCCAAGTGGCATTATATATACTAGAAGTACTCTTATGGCTTAACATTCTTGATTTTAAATAAGTTTGAGAATAATCAACAAAATAAATGGAAGAAGAAAAAATTAAGATTGAAGAAAGTGTTATTTGTAGTAGAAAGATACTTAGTAAACAAAAAGATAATTTCACTACACAACCATAATACAATTAATGTCTTCTAATAATATTAAATCTTTGGCAGCAAAATGTTAATAAAACATAAAGTAGTATGAGAAAGAAGAGAATATTGGGTTGAATGATTGACTAACTAGAAATGAATATATTAAAGAAATTGTAGAAATGAATAAAATTTTAAAAAAATAGTAGAAAATAGTTATAAAACCTGGTTCGTGTCGGTCGGTAAATCGGTCTCAATACCGATATGATACAAAAATTATATCAGTCATGCAATTATACCGGCCAAAATCGGTCATATCGGTCAGTTTTCAATTAAAATCGTACCGATCATACAGGTCAAATTTTATTCAAAATTAATTTTTTAATGAAAATGGAAGTAATTATTGATTTTTCAACATTAATGTTAATATATTATATATGTATATCTAACTTCACCAATATACGATATAATTAGTGAACCACAGATTGAATTGTTATACAAGTATCTCTATCAATTTGATGACCGGTACAATATTAATAACACAATATAAATATAAAGCTTTTATACTTGTTGTGATATATGAAAAAATTATAAAGAAATATGTATAGCATACCACAAAGTGGAAAAGAAAGTGATTGATAATTACATGAACACACTGATTCTAATGTAAAATAGCAATGATAATGTAAATGCATAGAAACTTACCCATAGAGAGAACTTTGGAATACAAATCTATATTATAAATGGGAACTCTAATTTGATCTCTGACATTCATAATATTCTTTTACTAAATGAAGAAAGTTCATTAGATGAAAAAAGGAATGCAAACAAAGGAGACAAAGTGATCCTCCATATACTATGTTTGAGGAAAAAAACACAACGTACTCATTATTCATTAGTACAATGAAACCAACCATTATGCCTATTTTCAATGTGTCAACATTAAAGAAACCATGATTCATGAATCCCAAAACAGGACAAACAAAAACACACAAAAAATGAGTCCTTGAATGCCCTCTTCATACTTTTTACAAAGGAAAATGTATTTACCGAATAAAACTGTTAATGTATTATCTATCATTTATATTTAATCATTTTTTATTTTTTTTAAAAAGTAATCTAAATGAATAATGAATAATATAATAATTGTATATAAATCTTTACACTAACGATTAATATATATTATAAATATTTACACTAACTATTCATCCTAAATATATCTTAAGAAGAGAACAATATAGACGAGTTAAGGGGTTTCTGTATTAGAGTTTAACCTTTATGTTTATCCTCTATAATCTATTATATAATAATCTGTATTGAAATGAAATCCCATAAATTTATACTATTTGAGTAGATTATTATTAAATAAAAAATGATAGAATCTCATATCATATTTTATTAATATCTATACAATATATATCTATACTAATATCTATATCTATACTAATATTATATATTATTACTAATATAAAAGGAAAACATGTTATAACTATTAAGGTGGTGTAATTTTTATTTCCCATATTGCCCTTCATAATAACTATCTATCTATACTATATATAAGTTTTAATAATATCACATTTCATTATCATATTTTTCTATTACATAAATTATGATATCATGTACACTTAACTCTATTACATAAATGTGATATAATTATCTAAAATAAAATATATTAAAATTAAATATTTAATACTAAAAAATAAGAATGCGGGTCGGCAGGCACGAAGTGTATGTCGACACACTATATATATATATATTTATTATAAATAAAGGCAAAACATAAAATAACTACCCATGAAGTAATTTTTGTTTGTCTAATTTACTTTTCACTATTCTAATTTCATATCTATATATTGATCACACCCTAATTATCCACTTCATCTATAAAAATAATTGCGAGTAATTTTCAAATGTAAATTATAATATCTAACATAAATTACTGTATTTCATATTTATAACATGGAGATTATACATTACAAAAATAGGAAAGTAGGGAAAAGGTTATAAAAGTATAAAAAAGTTATATGATTCAAAAAATTTGTTATCCACACACTCATCCCATCGATTTGGATTGAATTGGGAGATTAGTTTCTGGCTAAGATAAAAAATATATTGTGTACTCCCTCCATTACAAAATAATTGTTCACATGTCAATAAAAATTCATTTTCAAGAGAGTATTAAATGTTTATTTTTCACAATACCCATGCAAAGAGGGCAAATGTTGAGAGATAGAAATAATTTAAATATTAAAATAAGAAGTCAAATATTTTATCTTCCTAAATTTCAATGAAATTAATTACATTTTTAACATGGGTTCATTCTGTTTATGCATGATGGGATAACATATTCATATTCATGTCTCACTTTGTATACCAAGTCAATCAAAAGACTCAATTTAATTAAAAAGAAAAATAACAAATCAAAAATTAATATTTTAATATTATTTTGTGAAATTTGATTGATTGTGAACATAAGGACAAAAAATTTTTGGGACAGAGGATCCTTCTCAATAGTTATTTTACCTAAGGAATAAAGTGGAAGTAGTATTAAATGAAATGTTCGAGTTCTTTTACCTAAGAAATAGCTAAAAAGGTTGACATTTAAAAAAAAGAATAAAATATCTCCTTATACTAGGAGATAATTTATCTCCCTCAACCAGTAAAAGAATGACTTGTTCATTGTTTTGTTTTGTTTTAGAAATATTTTTGTAGAAAATGATTAAATGGTAGACATGTCACAATTTTAGTGACTAGAGGAGATAACTTATCTCCTTATACCAGGAGATACATTATTCTCTTTTAAAGAATGTTTAAGGCTATTTAAGCTAGTTTATTTTTCATTTTCAAAGTAATTTAATTATTAAAAAATGTTTAAGGCTATTTACCCTTATTTATGTTTTTCATTTTGATATTTCAAAGAAAGAAAGCAAGGAGACTAAAAAAACTCATTCAATGAACATACACTAAAAATCACAACTTAAATAAAGGTATGATTATATAATTTTAGAATATAGAAAATATGTAGAAATGTAATTGTTTGGTTACATTGTTAATTTATGTTTTTTACTTACGAAACTACGTTTCTTTTAATCACTCATATTAGTTGAGTGAATAATTATATTTTAATAGAAAAATCTTTTATTGTAGATATACCTATAAATAAAATCAAGACAAAATCCAAAAAAATGACTTATAAAATAAAAAAAACAAAGAAGGGTGTAGTTTCAAATTTTAAATGAAGCTGCCAACAACAAAAGCATGTTTGGAGAAAACATTTTCCAGTGTTTTAAACTTGAAATGATGGTTATTAGTTTGGAAAATATTAGGACAAAAATCACATATCCCAAACGCTCTTGAACTAATTATAATTGTACTTTTTATTTTTAAATTTTTTATTTTATTTCTGTGACAATATATGATTTACTCGAAATATCCTATATTGATGCCACGTTATGGCGTGTACCCCATAATTGTGGAAGAATGTTGTTAACTTTGTTGCCATGGCATAACTAAAATATTGCAGTTACACTTGTATAGTATAATTTAAAATACTATTCTTTCTTAATTTAATAAAGTACTATAAGCAAAGAACATTATGGAATTCCAACTTCTTTGTCAATCTTTAGAGATAAAGAAGGTAATTTAAATGTTTCAGAACTAAATACACTCATTTAACATTCCTTCCCATTCATTCTCCTAATAAACTCATTTAAGTCATGAAAGTTCATTCTAAAACTAAAATCTATATCTTCTCTTCCTCCTCCTCCTGTAGAGTTCCACTGTACAAAGATTTGGCAGAACAATACTATAAATACTATACTGCTCTGGCTTAGTATATAAACAAAAAAAAAATAGAATTTTTTTTAGTATTCAATACTTTTTAGGTTTTGTACGTGTTTAATTTTTAACTAGTGTCCCTCAGAGAAATCGAACATTTAATATTTTTGTCATATAAAGGGTTTTACACTAGTAGACAAGCACCTAAACAATACAATAGGAGGAGAGATTTATTCCACATCATATTCATCAATTCTAGGGAAATCAAATAGTTTAGATCTAAGATGTAGTAAAAAACTTCTTAAAGTAAGTGAATCTCCTCCCATATAATAATACACTAACACCTAAACAAATCAGCATTCATATATCATCCTCTCTTTCTTTGACAAAAAATGTGAATGAGTTTTATATACTTTGATAGCATTATTTACCATTCACTATGTTTAATTTTTACTAACTCTTCAAAATAATAATAATAAAATATATAAATAAAGGGTGGATTATTTACTGTACAAATAAACATAAAATACTATCTTGGCATTTAAATAAACTGTTGAGTATTTTGTCTCAAAAGATAAAAAATAAATAATAAAAAAATCTGCAGAATGAGAAAAGAAGTAAAGAAAACGTGAGCATATATATAAAAAGGGAAAGAAACTCAACTCAACGGTTATGAGTGACTCTTCCGAAATCTGAAAACTTCCTTGACCGGTTCGCACAATATGATGTGTGGGTCCCACTAACCATAACCATTGGTGTGTTCCGGTTCGGACTCGCTCGAACCAACGGACTCAAACATATAACCATTCCTGATAGCTTCTTTCCGGCGGAACCTAACCGTGACCGCCTCGCCGCAACCGCTGCCGGTTTATTCTCCAACGGTGAGTTATCTACATCGGTATAGAATTTCGTTTGATTCTCTCTTGAATTTCCTCGATTCGATTCTTCGTAATTTCGTTGTTTATTCTGCCGGCGAGGTGAGAGAATCGCCGATAACCACGACGGTGATGATGACGTTGATGCCGCCACCGACGAAGAACGAACCTCGCTTGATTTATTCGATCTTGATTGGAAAATGTTAGAGAAGATCGATAACTTCCCTATCTTCTTCGACGACGTCGTTTTGTCTCCATCGCAAGGTTCAGAGAACGTTGGATTCACCAGCGGCGTGCTGTAGAACGACCGGCCGAATCGGCGATCGCGATCTGTTTTCCGGCGAGGAACGTACGGCGAAACCGACCGTGGAAAATTCAAACCGACGGAGTCGCCATGGTCGAGGTTTTTAAGATCATCGGAGGAGCGTGGTGTAACACGCGCGTGTTGTTGAGCCTGGGTTTGGGCCTGGAAAATTGGTTCGAGACACTCCCGGAGACATGAGGCACAAACGCCGATATCGCTGGTAATATCATGTAAGTGTTTCTTACACCTCATTTTACAGCGTTTGTTATTATTATTATTAGGGTTTTCAATACGACGCCGTTTTTTGTATAAGTCCTGGTTGTGTTGAAAGAGATAGAGAAGAAGGTTTGTCTTATTGTGAGGAGAGAATAATAATGAGAAATAGAGAAGAAGGTAAAATTGGGAGAGAAATTTTAAAGAGAAAGAAAATTGGAAAACGACAGAGAAACAAAGTTGTTATAAAAAAAAGGAAAGTGTTTGTTGAATAACAACACTCTTTTATTATGACCCAGCAATGTTTGAATTCATTGTTGATTAATTTTTTTTTGGGTAATAATTGATTTGTTGATTTTCTTTTGTGATAATTGATTTGATCATTAGTGATAACAGAAAAGGAAAAAAATAATAGGGTGTAACTAATTTGGACCTTTTTAATAAATTTGTTTAGAAAAAAGAATGTGAAATATGTTGGTTTAATTTTTGTTATTATTTTTAAAAAATATTCCCTCAATTTTAAGAAGTCGATAAAATACATAACTCGAATACAATTTGACTCATAGTTATTAAAACCGTTTCGTGTCGGCCGGTTAAACTGGTGAACCGGTCACAATACACGTACAATACAATAATTATACCGGTTATACAATTAAACCGATAAAAACCGACCAAAACAGGTAAAAACCGGTCATACTGGTCGGTTTTCAATTGAACCGTACTGATCATACCGGTCGATTTTTATTTAAAATTAATTTTTTAATGAAAATAAAAATAATTATTGTTTTTTATTGATTTTCGGCATTAATATTAATATATTATATATGTATATCTAACTTTACCGATATGCGGTTTAATTACTAAACCACCGGTTAAACCGCTATACCATTGTACCAGTACCCCTACTGGTTTGATGACCGATATTTTATTAATAACATTGATTTTTTTTGTGTGACTAAAATGAAAATATTGTTATTAAATTTTCATTTAATATCATAATTAAGTTTTTACTATAAATTTGATCAAAATTTAAATAGATAGAGAAAGTTTTTTTTGGAAGAAAGTTATTAAAAGAACAAATAGTAAGAGAGAATTGTATATTAAAAATGGGGAGAATAATTTAATCCTAGTTCGACAATGCTTAAATATATAAAAGTTGATTTAAAAAATACATATGATAAAGTAAGAAGAAAGATAAAAACCATGGATGGAAGAGTAGTAAACTAGTAATTAGTGGGGGTTGACTTTGATTATATAAGTATAGACCTGTCAAAACGGGCTACCCGGACGGGTTCGGGCTAGCCCGCTTTTGATCCGGGCTAAAACGGGCCGGGCTAAAAAGCCCGGTTATATTTTATGTTGCTAAAAATGAGGCTCAAACCCGCCCAAAGCGGGCTGCGGGCTGCAGCGGACCGACCCGGATTCTTTTATTATTTACACCAATGCAAAAAACTGATGTTTTTAATATGTTGTAATCGATTACGAGTATATTGTAATCGATTACATCATGTAAAATGCACAGGTCTGATTAGTTTATCAGCATGTAATCGATTACCAGTATTGTGTAATCGATTACACTGTTTAAAAAACAGAACACTACCAATGCAAAAAACTGATGCTTTTAATATGTTGTAATCGATTACGAGTATATTGTAATCGATTACATCATGTAAAATGCACAGGTCTGATTAGTTTATCAGCATGTAATCAATTACCAGGATTGTGTAATCGATTACACTGTTTGAAAAACAGAACACTTATGCTTTAGTGCAAATGATCTTAGTTTCATGCATGAGTTTTTCAAAGATCAGCCAATGGCCCGAACCCGAACGGGTAAGCCCGACCCGAGCCCGAATTTATTGTGGCCGGGCCGGGCCAAAAAGCCCGGTTTAACTAAAATACTCAAACTTTAGTACCCAAGCCCTATACCTTTTCGGGCCTTAGCGGGCCGGCCCGCTATACCTGACACATTTTGACAGGTCTATATAAGTATAGTAACATAATTATACTTATTAATTGTTTTTATCTTTTGTCTTCTACTAGTTTGTTGAATCTAGTCCGTAATAAAAAAAATTGAAAATGGAATGTTTATAAGATTGTTCAAGGTGTTATTATTTTCTTAATAAAGGTATTAAATGAAAATGGAATGGTTGGGCTAGTTGAATTGATTCATATTAAAAAAAATTAATATATTCATAGTACCAATAATGTGAAACTTGAGTCAATATGTTATGTTTTGGGTTTAACCGATTTAAATGGTTAAATTGTCTGATTGGATCAGATAATTTTAGATAGAATTAATAATTTTTATATAATTAATAATTATGTATAGTTATATTGAAGTAACGTATCTTCATCTTTAACACGATCGAATCATAATTTTTCTGATTCAAAAAGGTCCAACCAGTCATTCAATTAAGACTACAAATTGGAATTGTTATCAAGTTCGGTCAGTGATTAGACTGGATGACCGTCTAATCCAACCTGATTCTCACAACACTATATAGTACAACACTATTTAATAAAAAAATTCTAAATATAAAAATTTATTTTAACCCCAACAAAGGCATACAATTTAGTTTTAAACTAAATAAGATATAGTTTTTGTTCTAACATAAACAAATAATAAATATAAGTACAATAATGATGATAAACATAATTATAAATAAGTTAAAAGAGTCTATATTGCTTTACTTTCAAAACGATGTTGCTTTGAACCTGTTATCAGTTTTATGTTCAAATTGACTGATTGGAACCTAGTCATATGGGTTTTGGTACATGATCAAACAAGTCACGTGCTCTATCATACTATATATAATTTATACTATATATTAAGCCAAAATATGAAATAACTATCACCATGGTGTAATTTCTATTTTTCTATTTTGCCCTTACATTTTTTAATTTCTACAAAAGAAAACCATATAGTCATAAGTAATTACCATTAACACATTAACCACCTATCTCACATTAAATTGAATTATAATAAATACATTTTTTAACATAAAAAATACTCTTAATACAAAAACATTTTAATTGTATAAAATAAAATATATAAAAATTGAATATTTAATATAATAAAATAAGAATGCGGGTCGCTAGTACTAGTAATACGTAAATATTAAACTCAATACAAAATTATGCGATTTTAAAAATAATAATATAAAAATTATTAACGATTAAGATATAATAATGTATTAGTATTAAAATTCTTACACTATTAATAATATCTAGATATTAAACTCATCCCAAAGAGCACATTTAATAGTATTTACTCCTTTAAAAATATATTTACTCGTAAATTAGTGTCATTTTTGTTTTTGAAAGAGTTAAATATATATTTACTTAGGAGATAAGAGGTTTTGTATAAAATATTTCCATAAATGTTGAACTCTTTAAAACTAATATATTTGTTGTCATGTCATGATTACAGAGTCTTATTCCTTGATGACGTGTCTTATCTCATGCCAGAATAAATTAACGGTAACGAGAGTGGTGGGCGTGGGAGTTTCTTCCTCCAAGTTTTTACCACATACGTGGCACTTTCTTTTCAAAATTTATAAAGAAAAAAGATAAATATAAATATATTTGATGTTCAGCTTCATTATTTATTTCATGTGTTAGTTTTGCGTGGTTGACTAAAACCTAATAAGTTTAATTGATAATTAATAAAAATAATTTTTTTAACGAATCATAAATATTTGGCACATGAAACTGAAATAAATATTGTAATTAATGTGTAAATTAATAAGATGAAAAGTTTTTTTTTTGTATTATAAATGATATCCTCATCTTTTTGGGTAAAGAATTGTTCTATTTCAGATTGTGTAATAACTCGTCCCTCTTAACCACTGTTGCTCCAAAAAATTAAACTTTTGACCTTTTGGTCACCCTGAATATACTACTAGACCAACAACAACTTATTGGTAGGATTATAAGTCCATACAATCGTATCAAAATAGAAATATTACAAATATTTATGATTGAAATTTGTGAAATATAATAAACTAAATATAATTTTCAGAATAATGACAAATAACCAATAACCGGAATTAAGGCAAATCAATAACACAAATTTGAAATGTAAACGAACATACTTACATATGTAAAATCTTCAATGTAACAAAACAGAAATATGAAAATGGATGACGATAATTAAGGAATGGACAAGTATTATAATAAATGTAAATTTGAAGTAATCATATTACAAAAGAGAATAAAATATCTCATTATAATAGGAGATAACTTATATCCTTCAGTCAGTGAAAGAATGACATGTATATTGTTTTGTTTATTTTTAGAAATATTTTTGTAGAAAATGATTAAATGGTACACATGTCACAACTTTAATAGCTGAAGAAGATAGTTTATCTCCTTATATCAGTATATACATTATTCTCACTACCATATTTAAATAGAATTATCTCTCTTGTGATTGAAAAAGTACACAGTGATTCTGAGAAAACAAGTGAAGGGTAATATCTAACAATGTATACAAGGTATCTTCATCAATGCACGTTGTAATGTTCAAACCGTACTTTTTGACAAAGCACTTTGATATTTTGCGTGATGATGGTAATTACTTATGGAAAGTGGAAACGTGTGATTTGCCTTAAATAGACAAAGTCTGTAACTCTGTATAGTATTATTGTTAAACAAAATTTAAGTTTATGTCTTACTCTTTAAAAGTCAACTATATTTTAAAGCGTAGACTAACTAACTTATATTTAAATATATACACACTCAATTAAATTATGTTTTTTTACATTTATCAAATTTACTAACAATTAAATTAAATTATATTGATCAAAACTAAACTCCTATGATAATTAAAAGGCAAAGATACCCATGGCCAAACAAGGATTACTCGTCTCAAAAAAACATCGTCTTCATGTCTCAAACCAATCACGTTGCACCAAGTAATATA